CCCCAAAACCCCAAAACCCCAAAACCCCAAAACCCCTAAATTTTTACGACTTATTGAAACACAAGACTTCAATTTAAGATGCAGATCGCTTAATAATTATGCACAACAAGGATCACATACCATTCGTATTACTTCCTCCCTCAATTAGGCTTGACTAGTCTCCTTACTAGTGCCATAATTCCGGCTTAATTTATGTGTTTTTAGTAGCTACAGGATTAATTAGCAACCTCGTACTTGGATAATCATTGAACAGGAGTGAAAATCTTTTATTTTTAACATAATCTTCTAGTTCTGTCTCTGTCATTCTCTCGCGTAAGTTTTTCTTACTGAGGGCAACCTCAGCATCGAATAATGAATTTGACGTATTTTCTGGGATATTATCATTCGTTCTCTTTGTCATATTATTATGATCCAGTGAACTAGTACTACTCTCAGCGAGGTCTTTAGAGTTATTGTTAAGGAATAAGTTGGACCAGGACTGTAATTCACTATCCGATTCGAGTTCAGTTCAGATTTGGCTATTAATATGGTCATATCTCTTGCTCTCGTTCATCCTTTTCTCAAGGTTTTGGTCAAATTTGACCTCCTCGATACGGTTGTTGTTCTCCATGCTAATCCGGGAGTGATCAATGGCTGCAATTGAATGATTTTTGTTTCCTTTGGTGCTTTTAATGGAAATGACCGTGTTTTCAATAGCAGGCTCGTTCTTGTAAGATGACAACTGCTTTGTCATGTCAATATTGAAGTTACAACATCTTAGAGATGAAACGGTTAATATTTACTTGATCAAGGGAAAATTTTGGGACTTCTTATGAGCTTTCTTCTTTTTGTTAAGTAGAATCACTTTGTCCACCTCTGCTATTAAATGATTCGCTAGTGTAGGCAGTTTTTTAGGGATAATTTTAGCTTTTTGAGTAAATTTTGAGCTTTTTATTTTCTATATGGTAAGTTATAGTAACTAACACTGCTAATCTTTTTCTTTGAGTTCTTCTAAACAGTTTATGCTAACAACCTACAAAAGTTTCTGAGTTCATTTTAGTCAATCCTTTATTCTTTCTGTTTCTTGAACCCCCTCTTTTAGAAGGGGATAATTTGATTGGCAGGATACTAAATTCATGATCAGAAATGGGTTCTTTTAGTAAAAAAATAGTTTATAACAGACTGCTTACTTTACATTGCTAATTCCTTTTGATAATGGCATAATTCCAGTCATCTCTGAGCTTTGTGACCCATTTCTGGAATTAAATTTCCGTTTTTTCTTGGTTTTAAATTGCACCCCGTAATCTCTACTCAGAATTATCATTCCTCATACACCCCTTATCTTAGCCCATTTTTAACCCCTAAAACTCCTTCCCCACTCAAATTACCCCCAAACTTCCCAAATCACCCCCAAACTTCCCAAATCCCAGTCTTACCGATCGGTTCCTTCACTGATCCTCTTCACACTGGCGACTGAAGAAGCTAAGTTCGAAAATGAGCCTGAGCCTATAAATTTACTTATCCCTCTATCCTCCACATTCCAATAACAAAGAAAGAACCCTCATTTAAACCTCTCCAAAAGCCCATTCGAATAGAACTTACGCTTGTTCGTGCTCTTATTTGGAGATTTCAAAGTTATGTGACCTGCCTCGTTTCAGATTCTGCTTTGAGGTGTATCAGCTGCTTGGGTTGATGCCCGATTTTTGGAATGGGCTGGAAGAGGGGTTGTGCGAGCCCATTGGGAGAAGGCTGCCTGAAGAGGGAGTTTAGGCTGGGATGTTGGTAGTTTAAGGTGGAGAAGGGAAAGAGGGGTTTGAAAGGGGATTTTGGAAGGATTTTTAAGGGTTTAGGGACGGAATGTTGGATATTAGATGAGTGAGAAGGGAGATAGAGAGAGGAAGGTAATTTTGAAGAATTGTACCAGATTTTTCTAGAGATTAGACGTTTATTACCTGTGTTGATGTCAAGACCGTAATATGCTTCGTTAGTCTGGTCTAACTGAAGATTGGGATGCTTAGTTGTACTTGGGGCGAGTTTATTTTCACTCATATTTCTTTTAGTCAGTCTTTTCAGTCGCATTTTGAAAGGTACATTCTTAAATTTTTTCTTTGATTTTTGTTTGTATCTTACTTCACCAAACCTCTTGCTTCTCTGTTCTTTACTAGGTCAAGTTAGCATATTATATGGGAAGAAATACCTGGCTGAGTTATTTTTGAAGGAGGACTCTTCTGGCTGAGTTGGAGCTTAGCGAGAGCGACTAGATTTTAGATACTCTTATCCCTACATCTATTTTAGATTGCATGACTGGAGATCACTTCTGGTTATACACCTTGTCATAAACATTATCTTGCTTGGAGAACGGTCTGAGTTTGTTTGATTTCTCTCCTTGTAAACCCTTAAAATGTATAAAAGTGATGGGCTTACCCTATTTTTAGCCTCAATTTTGATATTGAGGCTTGGGTTCTTTACCATTCTATTTATGCATGATTTTGAGATCATTTATCTTCCCTACAAATTTGTGCTGCTCGATACCTTGGGTTATCTCAGAGTCTGTCTTTTGTGAATTAATTGCTTCGCATTCTGATCTTCTGAATTGAACTGCTCTTGGGCATCTTTGAGCTGTAAGGCGTTGCACCTATTTTCATGAAGAATCTTTCTGATCTTGTTTTTAGATTTTCTAGTGAAAGTGTTTAGGACGGATTGCAAAGAAATTTAAGCAGATACAATAGTATCAAGTATAATAAATGGGATATGAATTATCTCAAAGAGATCACGACAAAGATGATTGTTAACTCAGACTGTAAATTATGGGATATTTTAGCCTCCAATTTAGCCTTCGCTAAACTCTCTCAAGGGATTAGTGAGGAATAGTATGGCTCAGCTCGTACTGTTTAAATTTCTTGTCTTATTAGCCCCTTTCTTCATTTTGTCAATGATGAAAATTTAAATTAATTTCTATAAGAGATACTTCCACAGGGGTTTTGGGGTTTTGGGGTTTTGGGGTTTTGGGG